AGCAGGAAGGCTTTGTTCCTCTCTGGCTATTGGCTGGAGGGCTTAGTCTCTCACCACATGGGCTTCTCTTCATGAGATGGCAGCTGGCTTCCTCCAGAGTAAACGATCAAAGACAGAACAAGGCAAAACCTTATTATATACAAAACGTCTTTTATAGCATAGCATTGGCGGTGACGTACGTTCACTACTGCCATACTCTATTGGTGACACAGACCAATCCTGATACGTTGTGGGAGGAACTACACAAGGGTGTGAATAACTGGAGTTGGCTTTCATCGGGGGCCATCTTGGAGGCTGGCTAACACAGACACTTTCTCTCTTGTTTACTATTATTACTATTATCCCAACATGGAGAAGAGTACTTTGCATATTGTAGGTCCTTAGTAAATATTTGTTGAATGAGTGGGTGGGTGGATTTAGAACACAAAATGTATGTCTTTAGAAAAAGGACCATTCATGGATCCTAAGTTGTTGGGGAGGGGCATGGAAGATGAGTACTAAAATAAAAATAATTGTCAGATGTAAAGTGTAAGGAGAATTCACTCATTTTTTTATTATATCTTTCCATCAGATGTGGAAACATGAGGGCTTTTTTGCGCTCTATAAAGGATTTTGGCCAAACTGGCTTCGACTTGGGCCCTGGAACATCATTGTATCCTTTTGGAACATGAGAATGAAAGTACATGCTTCAAGCTCCCAGGTAATTCCAGGCTATAGGAAGGAAAATTTGATTATTGAAGCCTTTAGGCAAGTGAGAATCTACTCAAGCATTCTAATGGTGACCACTGCGGGTGGAACTAAATACAGAAATGGCTTTCAGTTGGAGTCTAATACAAACTAAAGGGATTAGAAAAGAAATGCCAAAGTTTCTTTTCCTCTTTAAAACAAACAACAACAACAAACACAGCCACATCTGGAAGGGGCTAGGAAGTTTTGGGAAACCCTGCTAGGAGATGTCCACAGGAAGGTCCATGCTGAGGTAGTCCATATTTCCTACCCCTAAGTGTATGACTAAAATAGCTGGGGAAATAATAAGACAGAAAACACTCATAGAGCAAAAGAATCCAGAGCGAAGCAGGGCTCTTTCCTCATGGATGACCCTCCTTCCTTTAGCTGTGTTTAGTGCCACCTATGGGAAGAGCCATGAGTTGGATAGTGTGTGTGGTGGTGTTTGTACAGTGGTGAGCACTTCAGGGTTGAAAAGTAATCTTTGCCCTTGTGGAGTCTATAGGTTAAGGGAGATAGTATCTCCCTCCTTCCTTGGGATTCCTCTGATCGCCTAATGTCTGTAACAGTTACTCTAGCACTGAATTATATGTCGTTGATGTTCTTGGATATTTGTGTGTGTGTGTGTATGGCCTGTTTGCCCCTGAAGAATATAAATATGTTAGAATTTTAATGTGTTTATATTGCTAAATGCCAACAATCAAAATTGGCACATGGTGGGCACTCAACACATGCTTGATTTGCCAGATATTGTTTTAAAAAAGACTTTTAAGCAAATGCAACTTAGAATAGCACAGACTAAGTACCTCAATTTAAGAGAATGCAATGCACAATTTTAGAACCGGGTTTGACTTTCAGTATCATCACAGTGATCTTCCATGACTTACTCTTCAGTTTTTTATTACATACGAGCAGCTCAAGAGGCTTCAAATCTAAGGACTGAATTATATGTGAGTCAAGCCCTGCCAACCTTTCTACTCTTCTTTTCCCTTTTTCTGTGTTCTAATGTATTTTGACAAAGTTGTAAGTGTTTACTGAACCACTGGTCTCCCAAGGCCCTCCTGATGGAAGAACGATAGGATGGTTCAAAATTGCTCATGTGTTTGCGTTGCCATGTGAACTTTTCCCTGAGAGGGAGTATTAACATTGAGACTCTGGCCCCAGATTGGTATCTTCTGTGAAGATGGATACTGATAGATGACACTCAAAATGACCTTCTCTTCAAATATGGGTTAAATGTAGTTTGTTAGCCCCAGACTTGGGCTAGAGCAGAAGGCATAGGCCAGGGCAGTTACTGCTATTTATGTTACAGACCTCGGTTCTCATTAAAGTATTTATTGGCAGAATAACTTTGGCTTTGTCTTCATTTACTGTTTTCTCATTTGCCAGATCTTTAATTTATATTATATTCTCCAGAAAGCAATAAAGAGAAGGTGACTATGAAGTTGAATTTGGACTCCCAAAGCACATTTATGGGAATAGACTAAGTACATTGTGCTTTCCCCTTGCCATTCATTGTCATAATGCCACTTGTAAACATCAGACAAGTGGTTCTATCCTAAAGAATGCATAAACAAACAAGGGGCTCATTTGGAAGTTTCCGCAGATAAAATGCTGAAAGAGGCTTAAAATAGAACCCTGTGTCCAGGGTTCTGATTGTCTTACAGGCAAAAAGTTCTGGCTACTTTCTTGTACCAGAATAGTGCCTACCACATTGTAGGCACTCAAATATTTGTGAGATGAATACTTTAGTTCTTCATCTTTATCCATTCATTCATTTGTTCAACAAACATTTATTGTTATCTATTATATCTTAGATGCTGGGGATGTAAAAATAAATTAAAACATAGTCTCTGACTTCAAGGTCACATTATAGTAGGAGAAACAGACATGTAAGTAGGTACTAAGTACAGTACAGTAGGTACTAAGTACTGTCTGAGAGATGAACTAAGTGCTGTAGAAGCACAGAGGAGGAAACAGCCAATTACCTAGGGGATTGGCCAAAGCCTTCATAGTGGAGGTGCCAGTTGTGCTAAAAAGCAGATGTTACCAGGTAGATAAGGCAGGGAAGGACATTCCAGGCAGGGGAATGGGGGAAATTTCAGCATGGCTGAAATAAAGGGTTATGGTTTTCAAATACCACCTGAGGCAGAATCACCTGGAGATCTTGTGAAAATGTAGATTCTTGCACTCTGTCACCTGAGATCCTAACCTTATTTGGGGCAAAGGCATTTGCTTTTGTTATAGGCACTTGACGGAGGGCGATCATTAGATTACACATTTTTTTTTTCTTTTTTTTGCGGTACATGGGCCTCTCACTGTTGTGGCCTCTCCCGTTGTGGAGCACAGGCTCCGGATGCGCAGGCTCAGAGGCCATGGCTCACGGGCCCAGCCGCTCCGCAGCATGTGGGATCCTCCCGGACCGGGGCACGAACCCGTGTCCCCTGCATCGGCAGGCGGACTCTCAACCACTGTGCCACCAGGGAAGCCCTTAGATTACACTTTGAGAAGCACTTGTAAAGAAATATGGGCTAGGGACTTCCCTCGTGGTCCAGTGGCTAAGGATCCGCCCTCCCAATGCAGGGGGCCTCGGTTCGATCCCTGGTCGGGGAACTAGATCCCGCATGTATGCCACAACTAAGAAGTCCATATGCCACAACTAAGAGCCCACGTGCTGCAACTAAGCCCCGGTGCAGGGCTTCCCTGGTGGCGCAGTGGTTAAGAATCCGCCTGCCAATGCAGGGGACACGGGTTCGAGCCCTGGTCCAGGAAGATCCCATATGCTGCGGAGCAACTAAGCCTGTGCGCCACAACTACTGAAGTCTGTGCGCCTAGAGCCCATGCTCTGCAACAAGAGAAGCCACCACAATGAGAAGCCCGCACACCACAACCAAGAGTAGCCCCACTCGCCGTAACTAGAGAAAGCCCACGCGCAGCAACGAAGACCCAACGCAACCAAAAATAAATAAATAGATTAATTAATTAAAAAGAAAGATCTGGTGCAGCCTAAATCAATAAATATTTTTTAAAAATAAGGTGATTTGAAAACAGAAAAGTAATGTTAATTAAAAAAAAAAGAAATATGGGCTAGAATGAAAGGAAATTAGAATAGTGTGGCCAAAAGGGTCAAATTGTGAAGGGTCTCTATATACCCTAAGAAAGAGTTTGGCTTTTATCCTGGAGGGAGGGGCCAGGCAAAGGAAGTTTAAAATAGGGAATAATATAACCAGCTTGTATTTTTTAGGAAGATAATCCTTGTGTGGAGGGTAGCCTGGAAGGGGGCAACCCAAACAAGGTTAAGCCCCACTGAGCTCTACTCCCCTTTTTGTACAGGTAGACAAAATAGGGTCCAGAAAAGCTAAGAAAATTTGTCCTAAGTCATATAACCTGATTATGGCAGATTTGAGGCTAGCACATAGTTATCAGTTTCCTTCTCTGTCTCATTCTACCATGCGGTACGCGGGCCTCTCACCGTTGTGGCCTCTCCCGCTGCAGAGCACAGGCTCCGGACGCGCAGACCCAGCGGCCATGGCCCACGGACCCAGCCGCTCCACGGCATGTGAGATCCTCCCAGACCGGGGCACGAACCCGCGTCCCCTGCATCGGCAGGCGGACTCTCAACCACTGCGCCACCAGGGAAGCCCCACAGTGTCTTCTTAATTGTGAATCTAAAGTATTACCTTTTCAAAATAAATTTTAATAGACTTAATTTTTTTAGACAAGTTTTAGATTCATGGCAAAATTGTGTGGAAGATACAGAGATTTCCTGTGTACCTCCTACCCCCGCATACATGCAGCTTCCCCTTGATCAAAATTCCTCACCCAGGGTGATTCATTTGTTACAGTCAATGAACCTACATTGGCACATCATTATCAGTTCACATCTATCATTTATATTAGGGTTCACTCTCAGTGTTATACATCCTGTGGGTTTTGACAAATGTATAATGACATGTATGCACCATTATAGTATCATACAGAATAGTTTCACTATCCTAAAAATCCTCTGTGCTCTGCCTATTCAGTCTTCCCTCTCCCCTAAAGCCCCAGAATCCACTGATCATTTTACTGTCTCTATGGTTTTGCTTTTTCCAGAGTGTCATATAGTTGGAATCAAACAGTATGTAGCCTTCTTAGGCTTATATGGGCTATACTATATATAAGTATATATCACTTAGTAATATATACTTAAGGTTCCTCCATGTCTTTTCATGGCTTTATAGCTCATTTTCTCTTTTTCCTTTCTGGATGTACCACAGTATATTTATCCATTCACCTATGGAAGGACGTTTTGGTTGCTTCCAAGTTTTGGCAATTATGAATAAAGCTGTTATAAATATTCATGTGCAGGCGTTTATGTGGACACAAGTTTTCAGCTCATTTGGTTAAATACCAAGGAGTGCAATTGCTGGATTGTATGGTAAGCGTATGTTTAGTTTTGTAAGAAACTGCTAAACTATCTTCCAAAGTGGCTTATAAAGCTTTTATGTGCCAGATACTGTTTTAAGTGTATTATGTTTATAAAACTGTTTACATCCTTTCAACAACCCTATGAGATAGGTACTATTCTTATTTTTCAGGTGAGGAACTGAGGCACAGAAAGGAAAAAACTTCATTCCTAGGAAATGGCAGAGCCAGGATTCTAACCCAGGCCATCTGGGTCATGAGCCCATGCTCATAATCACCATGCTAGAGGTGTACTGACTCAGCCTTGTCCAGGGTCACTTAAAGTTTATGGCAGGTGAGCAGTAAAGAATACTGATTTCATTAGTTCCCCTGTCTTTATAGCACCCTGGGAGAAAGAAGGTCAATGGTCGTTGTGGTTGATCACTCTTTGACACTTAACTGTAAGACTAGATTTAAATTACTTTCCTGGAGACCTGTGACTGCAAATATATCATTTTCTTCTTATTCTCCACTTTCTACTAGATTTAAATTACTTTCCTGGAGACCTGTGACTGCAAATATATCATTTTCTTCTTATTCTCCACTTTCTACTAGATTTAAATTACTTTCCTGGAGACCTGTGACTGCAAATATATCATTTTCTTCTTATTCTCCACTTTCTACTGCTTCCTTATGTTTCCTTTGTTGGCCTTTCTTCTCCATGACCTCCTTCCTCACTAGCCCCCTCTTCCTCCCCAGTCTAAGTGAGCATACCATACACACAGGAGGTTGTTCTTGTTGTATGTAATACTATTTATTGAAGAACAGATGTCACTGATTTCTTTTTTTTAAAGTCTTTATTGAATTTGTTACAATATTGCTTCTGTTTTATGTTTTGTTTTTTGGCCCCGAGGCATGTGGGAATCTTAGCTCCCTGACCCGCACCCCCTGCATTGGAAGGTGAAGTCTTAACCACTGGACTGCCAGGGAAGTCCCAGATCTCACTAATTTCAAATTGAGTAATTTGAACATGGGGCTAGACTTCTCACCCTCTTTCCTCCCATGCAAAGAAGTCTGTTGTTAGGCTTATAAATTTATGGGAGGAATGATTAAACTTCTAAGAACCTGATTATAAATACTTCTTTTCTATTCACTAAAACATATCCCTTAAGGGATAATATTTTTGATCTTCATATCTTCTCAGTTAGCATGGCCACTCGCATTAATCTTAATTCCTGAGGTTTCAGTAAAGGATATCTCTTCTCTCTATCCAGTGTCTCAGATCAGCATCAGAATTCAGTTGTATTAGGGGCTGTGCCTAACTCATTATAAACACTCTTCATGCATCCTTGGCTCTCCTGTTTATTTAGCAAATAAGAAAAACAATTTAACACATCATTGCATAAGATTACTAAGGGACCTCGTAATCTTAAAGTGGTAGTTGGAATTTTGGATCATGAGCCCGTTTTCCACATTTGAAATAACCTCACAGCCATTCAGCTCTAATTTCTTGGTTCAGTTTTCTTACTTTTTAAACCACCTCTGAGATGACAGAGATGACTGAGATGACATCAGTTTGCTCTTCCATAGGATGTGCTTTAGTATTTGTTGAATGGCTCAGTGGGCAAATCTGCAAAACTATTATGAGTGGTAAAAGCACAATGAACAGTTTTGTAAGACAGCATGGCATGTTACTGGGCCAATGACTGTTATCTCAGCATGTCCATCATCTTTTTAGTGCCATAATGTCAACTCAGTTGAGATAGAACTGGAACCAATATGGATTTATTATATTAAATGGGAAATATAATTCAATCATGGAACTATTGGGTAACATACACCAAATGAAAAGAAACCTAAAAAAGTAGAGAACCCCCCAGCCCCCAGGATCTTGGTCTGATTTTAGTCCCTCTGGAGCTTTGGAGCAAATGAATTCTGCCTGCCCCATTGTGTAGAAGGCATTTTGAAAGAAACAGGAGCTGCTTTGTGCATTAAAACAGACTCTGAGACCCTTAGCAGCTGCATTAGTTGTTTCTAGGACTCCTCATGAGAGGGCTCTTTGAGCTCAGTGGCTGCTTATGGTCCCAACAGCTTGTAAATCCAGTGAACATATGGCTGGCTAGTAGCATATTAAGCTCTCCCACACTTCACCCTGCCACAGTGGATCCATTAGGTGGAGCACATCTTTCCTGGTCAGCAAGGCTGTGAGACCATGGCTTCGAGGCTTCAGCTGCATCAAGACCTGGCTCCTGGCTCCATGTGATCATATTTTCATATTCTCGTGCCTATTTAGCATTTTATGGTATTGCACAAAGCCACTATCAGAAGATTTTAAGAGTGAAAACACACTGAAATTGGTATCTGTATATCACACGATGCTGTATCAATGATGCAGTTGTCCTGTGAGGGGTGTTGTTAGACTGCTGTGTCCCATTAGTCCAGAATTCTGGATTTGCAGATTAACTCTAGCAGTAGGGCATAGCAACAGGTTTCCTTTTGTTAAAAAAAAAACTGGTCAGCCCCCTTGGTATGGTTTATGCTTTCAGGAAGCCATGCACTTTTATTTCTTTGAGATATTCATATCACTGTGGTCTGTTCATTTATGGCTCACTTTTGACTTCTCATAGCAAATATCCTAGGGAAACATTACCTTTCAAGAAAGGCCAGCAAAAGTATGAATCAAAATTCTTATAAGTGTTTAATGCTCCTTGACCTAGTAATACTACTTTGGAGAATTTTATCTTAGGGGATTAAACAGACATGTCAAAGATTTATATACAAGGGTATTTACACTGGTATTATAACAGTGAGAAATTGGAAATAACATAAATGTACAACTATAGAAAAATGGTTAAAATATTATATACTCATGTTGAAAAACATGCAACCCTTAGAACTCATGTTTTTGAAGAAAGCTTAATGACATAGGAAAATAGCACAATATAATATTGAGTGAAGAACACAGATGAAGGAAAATAACAGTGATCATCTCTGGGTGGTATAATTATGGGTAACTTTATGATTTTCTGTATATTCAAAAATTTCTAAAATGAAAAAAATTGCTTTTATAATCAGAAAAAAAAATAATGAACATCATGTATACATCAATATATAGCTCTAAAAGAAATCCAGGAAAGCTGGAGTAGTTTTAGCACCTAGCCCTCAATAAATGCTTGTGGGGTAGGTAGATGGATGAACAGATGAATGAATGAATGCCAGCTGACACTTGTAGGTACCATCATTGAGTTTATATGATTGCAAGAAATAACAAATGAAGATTTATTAATTAATAGGAGAAGATTCCAGACCAGTCAGCCATTTGAAGGATGACATGGAAGGTACTGAAGGAATCACAAAATAAGTGAGTGGCTGATGGCAGCAAGGGGTTGGGTCTGGCCTTGGGCCCATTGCTGTTCTCATTGCCCAGCTGTCAACGCCATGTTTCCTCTTGTTCTGTGTGTCCTTGAAGTATCTCTTGAGCCTGCTGTTTTCACTGGTCTCTGTTTAGTTTGGCCAGTGACTGAGCAAGTGAGTCACAAGTTCATTTCCCATGTGAACCAGTAAACACTTCATCATATAGGAAGAAGATATCCCAAGGCTAACTCTGGCTGGCCAACTCTCAGAGATGGGCTTTTTGGTCATGTGGACAAGCAGGAGAGTGTTGGTGGATCAGGGCAACCTGCCTCTAACATTTGTGAAACCACTCAAAATTACCCTGTCCAGAGGGATGTGTGTACTGTTCTTGAGGGTAGTCCTCTGAAACGGAGGTGTGCTGTACATAACATTAGCTACCCAAGGAATTAGTATAAAACTCAGTCATGTCACAATGTTTTTTAACGGATTCACAGTAAGCTTTTCATGGAAATTATAGATGGGACCAATTGATCTACATTCTGTCCTACAAGGTCTTAATATCTTTTTGGCTATTTTGATCAAATTGCTGAACAGGATCTGGCTTCTCTGCAAGTCCATCAGGAGACAACATTGGATGTGTGAATGAAATCTAAATGTCTCCACTCCAGTGCATTCCCTTATCTGTACAGGAGCCTGCGTCAAAGAAAGCCATTAGACTCTTTAGCATAGCATTCTGTATCTCTGCTCTTGGTGGCTTATTAAACACAGTGTTCTTAATTACGGTTACTCTTAAACCCAAGAATATGATAACAGTGCCTTGTTTATATCTACTCTGTCTTGATCCTGCTAAAGTATTAGATTTATGTTTGTCTTTTCCAGCCTGAGTCACCTCTCATCACTCCTTTTTCCTAATGTCTGCAGATGTGACGGATTCCCTTAAATTGGTCAGCTGGATGTTTTATTCTTTAGGTTTTTGAAGGAAGAGGAAGAGAACATTTTCTGAGTACTAACAATGTGCTGTGGTGTACTAGGCATTTTCATATGTGTTGTCTGAGTTAATCGTCGCTATAGCCAAATAAGGTAGGCATTATCATCCCAACTTTACAAATGAGGAAACTGTGGCCTTGAGAATTTAAATGACTGAATCATAATTTGAACACTGGTCTGTTGGACTTCAAAGCCTGTGATTTTCCCACTGCACACACTGACTCCCAGGAATAGCAGGGATTTTTAGACTGAACCTCATAACACAACAATCAGCTGGCCTCCCCTCAGCTCCTGCCTTTCTCCTGTAACTAGCTTCCATTCCACTTTGCTTGTGTTACCTTGGGAAGATCAGTCCTTTGCAGCAAGGCCAGGAAATTAAGCTTTGAACCACCAGTAAGGAGGGCATTGATTTGAGCCTGCTTTCAATTTTGTCCCCAAACCCAGTTACTATTTGTGTTTGTGTTTGGTACCAAATCCCAGACAAATCAGTTCATACTGTTTTGGTTTCCTCTGCCCTTTATTGTTGTCCACTCAGCAGCTTTCTAGGGAGATAATCTAGTTGAGGGCCTTAAGAGACAAACTCTCTAGGAATGTACTGTGGAGACCAGGAGGTTGTGGAAAGGGTTACAGGAAAGCTCAGGAAGGCTGAGCATGGTTCCTGGGTTTCTTCCCCACTCTATTCTTGTAGTTTCTGCTACCAGGGTTGCCCAGGGGGACCCTGAGTATAATTCCCAGTTGCCAACAGTCATTTTCTGTACCTACAAGAAAGCAGGATAAGGCTGGTCTCCTGGGCCATTTTGGAGACATCCTCTTATGCAACTGAGTTTCTTAGGAAAATGCAAATTTGGGAGTAAATGGAAGAAGGTCAAGCTATGAGGAGCAAAGTGGGTCCAGTGTGGAGGGCTTGGCAGTGCCTTTTTTGGTACCTACCCCTTTTTTCCCTTTCTTTCCTTTCAATGTCTCAGAATCTGTGGTTTGACATCGTCATCAGCAAGTAGCTACAAGTGACATAAGAGGCCAACTGAGGGGAAGGGGCACCACAGAGTTAGGAAGGTGGTGGGTTGGAGGGGTAACAGCAGAAATAATTACAAGACAGGCAATTCACCAAAGAAACACTGTTTTGAACACCGTGAAGTGTGGAAAAAGACAAGCTTTAGTATCTAATTCAGGTTCCTACATTTATACAACCTAACTACATAAAATGTCTGATTTACATCAGGGAGGGCAGGACCCCTCATGTCACCAAAGCAATCACTGTAGTACACAGTTAAAAAGAACAGAACCTCATTTCTCTAGTGCTGTGCTGTCTAATATGATAGCCACTGGCCACATGTAGCTCTTGAGCATTTGGCACATGGCTAGTTTGAATTGAGGTATTCTATAAGGGTAAAATACACACCAGGCTTCAAAGATTTAGCATGAAAAAAATAGGGTAATAATCTTTTATATTGATTACATGTTGAATTAATGTTTTAGATATATTGAGTTAAATGAAACATTATTTTCGCCTGCTTTTTTTTTTTTACCTTTTTAACATGACTACTAGAACATTTAAGATTACATAGGTGGCTTGCATTAGACTTCTATTAGACAGTGCTGCTCTAGTGTATTCAAAAATAAGATTTGAGTTTAAGCATCTTTCCAGTGGTACACTTCTTGCTTTAAGTAAGTATACCTCTACAGGAGAAACAGACTCATTGCAAAAGAAGGGCAGGGAGCAATGGAGATTTGCAAATGGGGAAGCTGATTGTAGAGGGAAGTCAGCACCCTGCCTTAGTTACCTCTCAGTCTGAGGTAACGAGGTGCAGGGGGTGGTCAGTTGCTGGAAGCAAGTGCTCTCTTTTCCCTAGCTCCACCTGGTCTCCTAGCTGGGGCTCTGTGAAGGGAGAGAGGGGCACTTAGAAACTTGTCTGCCCTTACCATCTTAGCCATCAAGCTCTGAGTGGGAGATGGTGGTGATGTGACGGGCACTTTCCCTGGGCCCCTGTGGGCCACCATCCCTGGCTGAGAGAAGGGGGAGGAATGCGGCGAGCCCCTTCTTCATTCCCAGGGCCATCTGGGAGAACTGTTGCCGTATCTCCTTCTGCCAATAGGCATAGATGAGTGGGTTGAGCAGGGAGTTGCCCACACCAAGCAGCCACAGGTACTGTTCCAGCACTGGGTAGAGGTGGCACTCCTGGCAGGCCACCTGCACAATGCTAGTGATAAGGAACGGGGTCCAGGACAGAGTGAAGCTGCCAATGAGAATGGCCACAGTGCGGACAGCCTTGAAGTCACTGGGGGTCCGTGGGGGCCGGTGAGCCCCGGCCGGGGCTCCCGCATGCTCCGTCTTGTGGATCTGCTGGCTGTGCATGGAAGCAATCTTGAGCATGTCACAGTAGAAGAAGACAAAGAGGAGCAGGGCTGGGAAGAAGCCAACGCAGGAGAGGGTCAGCACGAAGCGCGGGTGAAACACAGCGAAGAAGCTGCAGGGCCCCTTGTAGGCGGTCTGCTGGAATACGCGGACCGCGAGTGGGAGGAAGCCAATGAGGTAAGACACCAACCACAGCCCGGCAATGCAGGCCCCGGCTGTGAGCCCATTCATGATCTGGAAATAGCGGAGGGGCTGCTTGATGGCAAGGTACCTGTCAAAGGCAATCAGCATGACGGTGAGGACAGAGGCAGCTGCAGAAGAAGTGACAAATGCCATCCGAAGGCTGCACAGGGTCTTCTGTGTGGGCCGAGCCGGGCTGGAGAGCTGGTCTGTGACTAGGCCAGAGATGGCCAGGCCAAGCGAGGTGTCAGCCACAGCCAGATTCAAGGTGAAGCAGAGACCGACACCATCATTCTTGTGGATCAACGACAGCACAGCCATGGCCACTAGGGCATTAGCAGCAATAATGAGGGAGGCCAGGATAGCAAGGATCACTCCAAATGAGAAAGATGACTCCATGTCTTGAAGTGGCAGTATTTCCACTTACCAGGGCATGCTGGCTCTCCAGCTCAAATTCTCACGGGGGGAGGCAAAGCGGTGGGTTCAGAGCTGCAACGCAGTGCCGGCCACCGCTGGCAGTCCAAGCCGGCAGCTTCCTTTCTTTGGGATACTGCTGGTCACTGAGAATCACTCCCCGTCTCGTTTTCAGTCCTCAGCCTCTTGCCTCTCCAACTCTCTGAAGGCAGCAATCCCAGCGCAGACGTCTCCCTGGGTCCTGAGCTAGTCCCTCCTCCCACCACCAAGTTACTAGACAACTCCCAAGTACCTGCTGCCCGTTGTCTCGCCAGACTCTCTCCCTTCACTGATGTTTCAAGGACTTTGTCTGGAGAGACTCGGACATTCATCAGGTCTTCCATCTGGCAGAATATATAATTGATTCTAATCACATTTTTTCTTTCTCCATAGCTTGATCTTAGATGTCCACTTCTTTTCTTCCTAAGCCTCAAGTTCTAGCTTAACAACTAATCTCAGTTTAATTAAGCATTTGCTTAATAACAAATTCTCAGTTACTATTATGTCTGCTTTTAATCAAGCAAGATGATCATAATCAGTTGAAGTGGGAAGTGGGGCAGACAAGCTATTTTAGGGTCCAGCATACTTTCAGGGGAGTTACCACACGCTTAGGCTGTTTCTTTTTTTTTTTTCTTTTTTTTTAAACATCTTTATTGGAGTATAATTGCCTTACAATGGTGTGTTAGTTTCTGCTTTATAACAAAGCGAATCAGCTATACATATACATCTATCCCCATATCTCTTCCCTCTTGTGTCTCCCTCCCTCCCACCCTCCCTATCCCACCCCTCTAGGTGGTCACAAAGCACCGAGCTGATCTCCCTGTGCTATGCGGCTGCTTCCCACTATTATATATATATATATATATTTTACATCTTTATTGGAGTATAATTGCTTTACAATGGTGTGTTAGTTTCTGCTTTATAACAAAGGGAATCAGCTATACCTGTTGTTTCCTAACACCTCAGATTCTAATTCTTTCAAATAGGGTGTGCTGGTCCCCTATTTCTCACCCCTCAGAACTTGATTAGTTGAGGATTCAGAAGGGCAGGAAAAGCAAAACAGAATTGTTACTAGCTGTCATTCAGTTTAGAATAGAGCCTGCTCCCTGTCGAGAGCTGCTGTCTATTGGGTATACTCACTGAGAACTTTTTCTGCACTATGTTGGACCATGTCTCTGGTCATGAGTTGTGGCTGCCAGTCTTGTACTTTCTTTATTTTAGGCCACACCGTGAGGCATGCAGGATCCCTGACCAGGGATTGAACCCATGCCCCCTGCAGTGGAAGTGTGGAGTCCTAACCACTGGACAGCCAGGAAATTCCCTGCCTTCTACTTTCTCAATCCTGTAGCTTTGCCTTTCTTTTTTTTAAAAAAATTATTTTATTGAAGTATAGTTGATTTACAATGTGTTAATTTCTAAAGTACAGCAAATTGATTCAGTTATACATATATACATGTTCTTTTTCATATTCTTTTCCATTATGGTTTATTGCAGGGTATTGAATATATTTCCCTATGCTGTACAGTAGGACCTTGTTTATCCATCCTATATATAATAGTTTGCACCTGCTAATCCCAAACTCCCAATCCCTCCCTTCCCCACCTTCCCTCCCCCTTAGCAACCACAAGTCTGTTCTTTATGTCTGTGAGTCTGTTTCTGTTTTGTAGATAAGTTCATTTGTGTCATATTTTAGATTCCACATATAATTGATATCATATGGTATTTGTCTTTCTCTTTCTGACTTACTTCACTTAGTGTGGTAATCCCTAGGTCCATCCATGTTGTTGCAAATGGCATTATTTCATTCTTTTTTTATTTCTGAGTAATATTCCATTGTATGTATGTACCACAGCTTCTTTATCCATTCATCTGTCGATGGACATTTAGGTTGCTTCCATGTCCTGGCTATTGTAAATGGTGCTGCAGTGAACATTGGGGTCCATGTATCTTTTCGAATTAGAGTTTTCTCTGAATATATGCCCAGGAGTGTGATTGCAGGATCATATTAGCCTTGTTTTTCTTGATCCTGTAGACTTGAGGTATCTCTGGGACAGGAGAAGGGGAGGTGAGCTCCATTCTGGAAAGTATCTACTCTAATGTTTGCTTGTGGAATTTTCCATTTTCCAGGGATAGAGTTAGGCCAAAGGGCGGCAGTGTTGCTGAGGCAGGTGAGATTGGCCCAGGGAGGGCGGCTGTGTAGCTCACTGCTATTTTAGATTGTATATCCATTTGCTCAGGTACATTAGAACTAACCTTTTGCCTGCTGCTCTCATCTTGGATACCAAGAAGAGAGGGGTGGGGAGAAGAGTGGTGAGAAGCTTGTTTGCTCAGTTCAGGTCAGAGCACAAATGGGAAAGGTTAGTGTTTTAAGTGAGGGAGTGAAGAGCAAGGTGCAGAGTTGGAAGCAAATATTATATTCCCGGATGTTTTGACAGTCTGAGAGGGCCTTTGGCAGATGTCTCTCTTACAAAGGATCAGAAAGGTTGTGGCGTGGGGACTTGGTATTCTGGTTACCAACCTGAGAACTGTTTTTATTCTTTGGTACAACCATTAGGAGGCTGGTTTCAGTCGCTTAGCACCTGGCCTAATTTTATACCTGGATCTAAGGTGTGCTTTTGTTTCCCCAGCCCTTGACTCTATGTGTGGAGTCAAGGTGGCCCTTTTCAAACCCATGCTAAAACTCAAGAGTGCATCAGAATCCCCTGGAGGGCTGGTTAACACCCAGATTCTTGAGCCTCACCTCCAGAGTTTTGAATGTGTTAGTTCTGGGGTGGGCCCAAGAATCTGCATTTCTAACAAGTTCCCAGGTGATGCTGATGCTGATGCTGCTCTAGTGAAATGCTCTAGTGAAACGGTTCTTAACCTTCGCTGTGCAGTGGAATCACTTGTTGATTCCAAAACTAGTGATGTTTGGGTCACACACCAAGGGATTCTTTTGTCATTAGTCTGGGATTTGACCTCTGCATCTGGAGTTTTAAAAGGTCTGCAGGTGATTCTAATATTCAGCCAGGGGTGGGAACCACTGTCAAATGGCAGAAGCACAGGCTTTGGAGTCAGGGCACCTGGGGGTCAGCCTGATGCTATTTCTGTGCTTTTGTGTGGACAAATGACTTCACCTCTCTGATTTAGCTTTGGCTTCCTCATGTGTGACATGGGGACAATAATACCTACCTCTCAGTGTTGTGGGTATGATAAAAATGAGGTATGATGGATGCAAAAAGGCTTTATGAACAGTAAAAAGTTACACAGGTATTATTCTTGATTTTATTCTATCCTCTTGTTAATCAAAGGGTGTATCAGATCAGGAACATTGGTATGACCTGACAGCTTGGTAGAAATGCAAATCTCAGGCCCTGCCTAAGACTTACTGATGCAGAGTCTGCATTTGAACAAGATCTCCAGGTGATCTGTAGGCATGGTAAAGTTGTACTTTCCTCTCTCCTACTGTCAGGTGCCTGGTTGTATTAGTTTCATTTTGCTGCTGTAACAAACTACCACAAACACAGCGGCTTAAACCACACAAATTTATTATCTTAGTTCTCAAGATCAGAAGTCCCAAACTGGTCCCACAGGCTCAAATCAAGGTGTTGGTAGGGCTGCATTCCTTTGGAAGCCTCTAGCGGGGAATAATTTCCTTGTCTTTTTCAGCTTTTAGAAGCTGAGCACATTCCTTGGCTCATGGCACATCACTCAGACCTCTGCTTCCATAATCACATCTCCTCCTCTGACTCTTACCCTTCTGCCTCCCTCTTTTAAAGGACCCTGTGATTACTTTGAGTCTACCTGGATATCCATGATATCGTCCCCATATTAAGATCCTTAATCACATCTGCAAAGTGCCTTTTGTCATGTAAGGTAAAATACTCATAGGTTCTGGGGATTAGGATGTGCACATGTTTGGTGGTGTGGGGACCATTATTCTGCCTATCGCACCAGTATTCTCTGCTGCCCAGGTCTCTTTTCCCTCCATCCCCAACAGATGCTCTTCTCAGTCTACTCTTCCTTTGCTCATATCCTAGAGAGTTATTTGTTTTCTTTTAGCCATTAACACTTTCCTGTTTTCTGTCTCAGGAACCCACACGCTGATTCAAACTAATTTAGGCATCCTTGGAAAATAGTGAGCTCTCTATCATTGGAAGTACACAAGTAAACGATGAATGCCCACCTGTCAGGAGGGCCTTAGAAGGAGATTCTGCAGTGGTGCAAAACATTATTATTCCCACTGAATTGTCTTTCACTCCCTACACAATCTGTTTTTGATGGGCCTCCAAGAGTCTCCCTTAGCTCTCTCCCTTCATTCTTAGCTACCCCATCTCTGTGTTTCCCTTGGTGTTTTCTACCCCCTTTCCCACACCACCACCTGGTCTCAGCTGTGTGTCCTAGATCATAGCCACAGAGAACATGGCTCCTTCCTGGGAGGTTGGTTGCTGGTCCTTACAGTCCTGGAGCAGACTGAGGACTCTGAGTCTCCAGTGTGGAGCATTGACAAGGCAAAAAAGCTGGGGTTGAGAAAGGGAAGAATGAAAGGGCTTATTCTCCGGTCAAACTATCCTATAACCAATGCATTAAAGGCTGGTCACAGTGAGCTGTCACCAAGGATGCAACAGGGTGCTTCATCCACCCCTAGGGAATGGGACAAAGGGCCACAGGTTTCAGCTGGAATGGGAGTGCAGGAGATGCCAGGCTTCAACAGAGCCCGGCTTTGGAGCCAGGCTCATGGGAGAGGAGCTCTAGGAAGATATTCAAGACAAGTCACACCTGATTTCTCATGGTGCCTAGACCAGCCATCTGCCGGTGATGGTTTAGCTGCATCTTGCCCAGGACTTTAATATCTCTTCCTGAATGAGTAGACTGGTACATCCATTACTGTGAAATATTATGCAGTGGTGTGAAAAGAATGGGATGGGTTTATATGTCCTGACACAGAGAGACCTCCAAGACATGTTGTTGGTTGATAAATCAAGTCACACATCAATATGTAGAGTCTGAACCCACTTATGAAAATAAAACCCCAAACCTCAGCTAAA